TGAATTTAATATTAATTACTGCTAATCCCTCTAGGCTATACAAGATGATGTAAAAAAACACGAGGAACCAGTGTACCAGACTCTTCAAGATGTCCAACTACTTGTTGCCTCAAGTGCCGACAAGATGACGCCGGAAAGCAAGACAACACTACAGGATACCCAATCAGAGTTACGAAACGATATGACCACTTGCTTGATCATGTGACTGAGAGAACCACTGAATTGAAGGACAGTGTGGATGACTTGGCAGCTTTTGAAGACGCCATGAAGGACTTCGAAGAATGGCTGCATAAAGCGGAGAAGACCTTCAATGTCATTAAGGAAGATATCGGTACCGACCCAGAGTCTTTAAATGTGCAAGCCAGACAGATTAAAATGTTCAAAGATGAAGTTAATGAACACAAACCAGAATTAATGTCTCTCAATGAAGAAGGTCAAAAGGTCATTGATAATGGAAAGGTGAATAAGCTGTTCAGAACATTATAGTTTTTACAACCTTCAACATTTTTTTCTGAAAATGAGATTGTTTTATTTTGTATTTTTTTCTTCACATAATTATAAGAAAAGTGCCCGATGTTTTTTTGGTGTTTATATAGTACTATGGAAAATGTTATTTGTTCGGATTATAGAAATCGTTAGTGTTTTTTATTTTCTAATTGTGAAATCTTTATTTTGTGTGTGCAGGATTGCAAAAAGATGTTAGCTGACTTCCGTAAAACTACCCTACCGAAAGAATTCAACGAAACATTCGTGGAAGAACCTGCAACTAACATCACACGAATCAAACTCGTCAACATCAATGAAAGATACGAGAAACTGAGTCAGTTATTTGCTCAGCATCTAGAGAAGTTGAACACTCTAGAGGAGAAACACCAGAAATACCACGATGTGTTGTCTGAGTTAGTGCCATGGCTTGAAGACACTGAGAAGATTGTTAACAAGCAAGCTAGGGAGCCTGTTGCCTCAGAGCCAAAGAAGATGCAAAAGCAGATTGCGAAATCAAAGGTGAGAGGATTTAAGTATCCTTAACTTGATGCATATTTGCAAGATCTGGGAAAGAATAAGAATGTAAGAACAAAATTATTGTGAATTGCACAAATCAGGGTAACTGCAAATTTGGCAATAATGATTTAGTGGGGAGACACCATGAACTTTCATCACAAAAGCAATCAAATTACCAAAACAAAAATGATTTGAATATAAAATATAATAATTTAATTTCTGTTATTCAACAGAGTGTAAGTGATGACATCATTGCTCATGGCGTTGAGGTTGAGAGAGCCCATGATACTGGTGAGGACTTGGCCGAACATCAACCGGAAATCAAGCCAGAAGTAGAAGGACAACTCTGTAAGTTTTATTTTTTTGTGTGCAAGTTTTGACTGATTTTGCAATAATATGATTATTAACTACTAACATTTCGTGAGAAACAATTTTGGTTTTCTAAGCGTTGCATGCACTCATTTTGATTCATTTCTCTGCAGCTGAGATTGACGAGAAGTACCACCAAGTTGAATACATGTCAACTGATAGAGTAAATCTCCTACAAATGG